CCCCATGGCTTGCTAAGCCAGCTTTCTTATACAACCCAGGACCATCTGTGCAGTGGTGGCACAGCTTACCATGGGCTCCACCCTCCCGTATCAGTCAGGAATAAAGAAGATGCCCACAGATACGCCTATAGGCCAATCTAATGGAGGTACTTTCTCTTCCCAGACAGCCCTTGCTTGTGTCAGTTTGACAAAAAATCTAACCAGGACACTATCACTTTGCTTCCACATATTTTTTCCACTAAATTACAACTTACTAGAAGCTAGGAAGTGACGTGTACTAAGCTATAGGGATGCCAGCGCAGGTGTGCTGTATCAAATGATGGGAAGAACTCAATGTCTGTGTAACCTAACCTGGAAATAGGCTTTCATGACTCAAACCCCATAAATTACTTAGGAAGATGTTACTCACTCTTTCTTGAAACCTGGAAATCTCATCAGCAGCAGTTTTCCTTTTTTCTGCCTTTTCTGTCTTTTCCTTTATCTCCTTCTCAAGCCTCAGGAACTCCTCCTGCTCTTTCTTCTGCTGGGTGTAGCTTTCTAAGAGCAGCTTTAACTTACACTGCCGCTGACGCTCTTTCTGCTGCTTCCTCTCTCTCTCTTCTTCTTCTTTGAGCTGGGAAGCATGCTTCATTGACATCTCTATACTTTTCTGTTTTTTCCAAGCTTCAACTGCCAGTTTCTGCTTCTTTCTCTGTTCCTCTTTCTGCTTTTGATTGTCTTCTGGTTTGCTATGAGAAGGCATAGGTGCAGTGTCTGCCTTTTCTTTTAACTTCAGTATTTCCTCCTTCTTTTGCTGCTTTTTCGTTTTCCAATTTTGAATAGACTAAAATGATCAAAGTGAAACAAACACGCTTTTGATCAGTCTGTGGCACTTAATAAAACCCCAGTTCTAGCTTCCTGTGGGGGAAAAAAAGGTGGTTTGCGGATGCTGGATGTTTACAAGTTTCGTTTTAAACCAATGCAATTTTTCTACTCATATTTTTAAGTTACCATACTCTGTAAATCTCTGGACCTTGGGTTATTCTTTGGCCTCCCCCTGCATTCAGGAACCCTCCCCCATCTCTTCCATCACTCTTGGGTACTGCCACTTTCCTCTAATCACCCTACTTTTGTTTTCAAATTCTCTTTCTAGGCACAGAATGTTTTTTAAGAGACCTTTCTTTTACCAAGTATCAGACGAGGAATTAAAACTGGGATAGTGAAGGCCATGAGCCTTGAAGCCATATTATTTGGGAAGATTCTGGCTTTGTCATTTATTAGGTGTGAGTCTGGATGAGTTACTAGTCTATGTTCTGCTTATCTACAGTGGTGGTTTAAATGATAATGGCCCCCTTAGGCTCATATGTTTGAATGCTTAGTTCCCAGTTGATGAAACTGTTTGGGAAGGATTGGAAGGTGTAGTCTTGTTGGATGACATGTGTTACTGGTCATGGGCTGAGGTTTCAAATGGACACACCATTCCTAGTTACCTCTCTCTGTGTGTCTCATGCTTGTGAATCAAGATGTAAGCTCTCAGCTACTGTTTCCGCATGGTGACCATCTGTCTCCTGCCATGCTCCCTGCCATGATGGACATGAACTTTAACCCCCTGGAACCATAAGCCCCAAATCAAATGCTTTCTTTTATAAGTTGCCTTGGTCATGGTATTTTGTTGTGGCAATAGAAAAGTAACTAAGACACCCATAAAATGGTAGGAAGTAATTCTTACACAGGGTCATTGCAACAATTAAATGAGTTGGTGCCTGATACATGATGCTTCATAACTGTAGGGGAAAAATTTAAGTTTCATCTATTATATGAATATGTAAATATAACGAGATGGAAGTCGAGCTGTAGTCCGTAAGGTTAAGATACCATTATTCAGATAAACACCAGCCAAACGCAAGCCAGAGTGTGCCCAGAGGCAGCAGGCTAGGGAGGCCATAGAGAGAGGCTCCCCCGTGTCTGTCACCCCCTTAAGAACTCCCCACATGTCATCCTGAACCTCCCCTGACTATGCCCTGGCAGGCGTAGTCATGCTCCTAGGAGGTGGGGCTACAGTGTCTCCCTACATGTAAAGATGACTTAAAATTCTAGCAACCTTTATGCCATATAGTATGCTACCTACTGTATTTCTCAGCCCCCTTCCTAGTCAGGAAACTGTTTCCTCATCTTTCCTTACAGTTTATTATTCATTCATTCATTCATTCATTCATTCATTCAATAAATCCTACATAGTGAAATAATATGAAAAGCAAAGCTATAGGATTAAGAGATGATTAGCAATACCAAATACTCTCTATCCAGTCCCACTCAATATGCCAGTCCTCAAACATATGAGTAATTTGTGACAGGATATATCTCTTCCTTACTGGGGAACCTGCTGTCACACAACCATCTTATCAGGGTCTATGGACTGGAGTGGCACAGTTCTGGGTAAGGCTCAGCATAGGCAATCCATAGGGCATGGTAGAAAAAGTTGTTAGTGAATGCTCCAAGAGACCACTTATTTGGGGACTGACAAGAAGACAGTCGCCGTTACGGATCTAGGAATATTCTGTCAGTCAGGGAATGGATGGGGAAAGGAGATGAATATAAAAAGAGAAGGTATTCAAGGGTACTCCAGAGCCATGTCTGAAAATGGTAAGTATCATGGGATAAATTAAAGGTGTTTTCCCCCTAGAAACTAATGTAGTCTCTGCTAAGATGACCTCTTCCAGCCATCTGTATGACTTTGAATCAACCCCTTCCTAGGAAAGAAGAGACAGGGTTTTACAGCACATTGTGTATTTCCTTGTGGTAGAAATGTTTGGTCTTCAGAAGCTCAGCTGAAGTTGTACCATTGAGTAAACATTCCCTAACTATTCAATGTCTTGGTTTCATGTGCTCTAAGAGATCATGGGCTGACTTTATGCTGTCTGCAGAATGTTTATGATGCAGGTAAGAGTGTTGCACAATGCCTGGCACACAGACACATACAATGCACAATGGCTGTTTTAAGTACTATTACCTCTTTTTTTCTTTCTTCTAGAGCCAGGAACTTTTGATACCACTTCTCATGTTGCTGAACCTCATCCAGTGTTCTTCCAGGAAGGTGCTCAACAACCTCCTTCAGAAATGCTGGCTTGCCCTTATGTTTGTTCCTCAGTTTCATAAAGTTCTGGTGGTCAAAGTCATCCCAGCCCCCCTGTCGCCCTCCTGTTTGCTGAAGAAACCTTTCAAATTCTATCACTTCTTCTGGAAGAGTACTTGGTATCACTCTGGCTACAGGAACTTTGCTTGAGATGGCTCTGAAAGCTTTCTCTGTTTCTGAATTACCCAAAGCCCAAGAGTCAATTTTCCTGGAGATGGCACTCAACTCATTATTAGTTGCTTTCTCTTCTTGAATAAGCTCTTCATATCTAAAATTAAGAAAAATGAAGTTTGAATAACATACCAACCAATCCATATTAACCCTTCACTTTCCTGCAAGTTTAATTACCCCTAACTATTCCATCTCCCCTTGTTGACATTTCTAATATTAATAATGTTCATATCTGGGCCTTAAAAGAAGTTAGTTTCCTCAAACATTAACAATCTTTCAAACTTTTATATGTGATCTTCTGGTGTCCAAAAAATATGAAAATTGACTTTAAGCATGAAAGGTTGTCTAAACTCTAGGACAGAAGATAGATTAAAAGACTTATAGTACATTCACAGAGGACAACCTAAAAGTGAGTTATTGGAAAATCAAGGTCAAAACTTTCGGTTAAGTGAGTTTAAAACATACATCATTGAGGTCTGCAATTAATAAATGGGACCTCCTGAAATTGAGAAGCTT